AGAGGAACTCTGCACCAAATCCATCCTTATAGATGTCACAGTCGTCAATCCATCTGCTAGGCGAAGTATCGACAAGTCGCTCCAAACGCCAGGATCCGCCCTCGAAGATCGAGCTGCAAGTAAGGCAAAACACTACATTTGTTTCGCCCAATTTAATATTATCGGTAATTTTTAAATATTGCTTAAAAATTTTAATAACTTTAATAATTGATCGTAATTCATGTTCCGGAATAAGAGAATCTTTTCTTGAAACCTCATTTGCTGATGCTATGGTCTCTATCATTTCACTAAAAGTAGAATGAGCTGATGTCGCAGAAGANACCTCGTGACACTTCCATCGAATTACCCATCCATCCTGGCCACAAGAGGTTCCCAGTTGAGGGTAAATTCTGTGGGTGGAGAGTGTTAAGGAGGACCCAATTCGCAGGGTATCCGTCGATTGACTTTTACCTGAATCGGTACACCTTCGCAATGAGCTGATATCGCAGAAGGATTTTTTCCAAGCTCATTTTTTGCAAGAAATAAATTAATAAAGTGTAAACGAGAATAAATCATTTCAGCAACTTCATTAGGAAGTTTATCTAAATTTTCCTTCTCGAGATAATTGTACAAGTCTTTAACTAAATTAATTTGAATTTTCTTCTCTTATAAAGGATCTGGGGTTCTTTATGCAGATGACACAATAGTATGCAAAGAGGGCAAAAAAACTTAATGTTAAATAAAAGCATTCGCGCCTTTTTTCTCTTTCTATTTGCTCTTCCGGTTATTTAGTTCCTTTTCCACGGAATGAGTATTCTCCAATTTCAAAAACCTTGCACCCGTTTCTTCTAGGTAAACGAAATATTTATTATTTTTACGATCTTGAAAAAAGCTTATATGGTATTCGTGCAACGATAGAAGTCTTAAAAAATATAATAGCTAGTGAAGGAAAAATTCTTTTTATTGGTAATGAAGTTTCAATGCAATCCCGTTTTAGGCAAGATTCTAATATAGATTTTATAAAATGGAAAAGAGGTTCTATAGCAAAATCAAAAGATGTAGATTTAGCGCTTTTAATAAATGTAGAAAAAGAAAATTTAGTTGAGGTTCATAGAAATGTTTGTTACTTGTGGGTGTTGGAAGTTATGAATGTTCTGATTTTGATATGGTTCCGGAAAAAGAAAGTGAGTGTGATTCAGACTCCATTAAAAGTGCTCTACAGAATTTAACATTTTGGATAAATGCTCTTGAAAGGGTAGGCTTTAAGGCAGAGCATGGAGAGAAGAAAATTCAAATTAATTTAGTTAAAGAATTATACAATTATCTCGAGAAAGAAAATTTAGATAAACTTCCTAATGAAGTTGCTTAAATGATTTATTCTCGTTTACACTTTATTAATTTATTTCTTGCAAAAAATGAGCTTGGAAAAAATCCTTCTGCGATATCAGCTCATTGCGAAGGTGTACCGATTCAGGTAAAAGTCAATCGACGGATACCCTGCGAATTGGGTCCTCCTTAACACTCTCCACCCACAGAATTTACCCTCAACTGGGAACCTCTTGTGGCCAGGATGGATGGGTAATTCGATGGAAGTGTCACGAGGTTTTTTGTAGGATCGACTCCAAGAGATGTTCTCAGGACTGACACACATTGTGTCCTTGGGAAAATATCCAAGTCAGGAGAAAAAGTGTGCACCCAAGGAAATTCGAACCAGTATCCCGCTGACGCCATATGCGAAGGTATATCGATTCAGGTAAAAGTCAATCGACGGATACCCTGCGAATCGAGTCCTCCTTAACATCATTCTACTTTTAGTGAAATGATAGAGACCATAGCATCAGCAAATGAGGTTTCAAGAAAAGATTCGTTTATTCCGGAACATGAATTACAATCAACTATTAAAATTATTAAAATTTTTAAGCAATATTTAAAAATTACAACCCGTCTAGATCTACCCTCCTTACTGCTGCTTTTTCGACGTATGGTGGTCTTGGCAAAGGCACCAATCGACTAATCGTAGCTATCGCCAACCACTTGGCATACGAAGCCTTTTGCAAAGAGAATTTCGCCGACGAAGCAGCCTTGATTCGCCTGAAGGCTTTTCATACGAATAGGATTCGGAGACGATTTACTTTCGAGCTGGCTCGTTTCCTGTCCGTACGAACTCGTGATGTTTTTAAACGTCATGGACTGCTCATGGATCAATTTCCACCCCGGCCAATAGGTTGGGATTTCGATAGTAGTACAAACGAAAACGATCATCATGATGGCGACGAGGGAAATTCGAGTGGCAACGATGAAGGAGGAGGAACAGAGGGGACAAGAGGAGGACAGACAGAGACCAAGACAGCAGTCGAGAAGGGAATCATGGCGTGGAAGAGAGCAAGAGCTTCGAGCCAGAGGACCTCCCGCACAACAAAAGACGGAGAGACAGACAAGAAGAAGAGCTGCCAAAAAGTTGCTGCCAAAATGACGATGAGAATAGTGATGGTAGTAGTGGTGAAAGCAAGAAGAATGATAGAGAGAGCACTCCTAAACGAAGTCGAGTGCAGGGTGACAGTCTTAGTAGACACGTGCAGTTTTCTTCTGTTATTACTACGGTATCTGTCTTCAATCCTGAGAATAGCGTAGCTCCCCCTACGACGCTCGGTCCCGGGGTCCCAGATAGTGGACTATAGAAACATTTTGTGTTTCCCGCCGCACTGAGACTGACGTCTTTTCATTGGTCAGCCGGTTAGCGTGGTCGATGCTAATAATAAAAGCACACACACATGGACATCAATTTGAGAACAGTAATTAATTCAGGGGTCGGGCTGACAGGCGGTGTTATTCAACGTGCGCAGAACCCCCACGGGGAAACACAAGGACCCATCTAAAACAGTTTTTTTGCGAAAAAAAAACTCCGCTATCGCTCCGTTTTTATTTTCGCACGCGCGCTTCGCGCGCGGAAAAAACTCCTAAAACAGTTTTTTTGCGAAAAAAAACTCCGCTATCGCTCCGTTTATATTTTCGCACGCGCGCTTCGCGCGCGGAAAAAACTCCTACAAAAAAGAAAAAAGCCCTGGTGTTTACCCCTTGTGTGACGCTGGATGATCGTGGTTGTACAAAAAATACACTGAAAGTGTTATACTTCAAGATACTAGGCCGAAAAGTTTAAGTACACGTCTCACTACGAAAAATGGGGTGACTGTCGCCATTAATATTAGGACGAAAACAAAACACAGACCTTGGCCGTCGTCAATAACGACCTCCTCCTCCACCTCAGCGAAATAAGCCTTCGGGGACGACCGCCTTCGAGGCGTCAAGGTCAAGGATGCCCGCATGGTGGCCGACGAGAGGAGACAAGAGGAAAAGAAAAACGAGGGACGAGAAAACAAACACCCCGAAGAGGAGGAAGAGAAGGAAGCGCAAGAAGGAAAAAAAAATATATATATATATGGAGAGAATCGGTGGAAGGAGGGGGACTCCCCGGAAGTCGAGCCACATCCCGGACCACAGCGTACTACGTGGTGGCGCGCGTGCGTGCTGCCGAGTGAAAGCCTTCACCGATCGATTTTCAATCCGTGTTTTCCTCTCAAAACAGTGTGCAAATAGAGCGTGTTTCCTGGCTCTCCAAAATATGGACTCTTTTATGGCGTGACAGATAACGTTCTAAAAAATACTTTGAAGTGATTTGACCGATCGAAACGATCGAGCATTTGGTTTCATGTGGCCGGGTACACAAGAACGGAAGAACATGAAAGGGAGAGGGAGATTCAGGCTACCTGTAAACAGGTATATGAGGGGACCAGAGAGGAGAGCAGTGGCAGGACGAAGAGAGAACTATGCATACGATATCCGGGGAGAGGGCGGTGTCGATAGCTGACAAGAGATGTTACGCGCGTACAATACACAAGGCCGCAACTCTACTGGCCTGTAGCTCAGTCCGAACTTGCTTGTGTGAGAAAACCGGCGTGCTCATCCAACGCCCCTGTCTGTACGGAGGTGGTATGCATGTACGCCACGCGGAGTGTCAAGACTGATGTTTCTCGGTTCGCTGTCCTGTGTGATGTATCCGTTGATGGAACGCAGGACTTACTTCCGCAGATTTCCGCAGAGAGAAGTTCAGCGGCAAACGTGCCGGTGCCGATAGATTCTTTTCGCGGAAGAAGAGAGGGTTGCGTTCTGCTCTCTCAACGGACGGTGGTTGAGCTCTGGCACGGAGGCACGTGAGGGCTCAAGACCCCGTTTCTGCAGAAATACCGAGGGTGTTTCTTCATGTGTGTCCTGAAATCCGTAGGGGGTCATTTTTTCTTGCCTGTCCGATTTCAGCACTCTCTACCCAACTCTACCAAATTTTCAAGAGATTCGGGGATTCCTGATTCAAAGGTGACCGCGGCGGAACGGAACTACACGACCTGCTGCCCAAATGCGGCCAACACAGCAGTAGTGTGGTCCTACGTACATGTACGAGATAACGTCACGCACAAAGGCGAGGGAGAATCAACCAAATAAAGCGGTTTTGTGGTCATTGCTACAAGCGACGAGGCCAGAAATACGGCAATATCCGCAAACAGCAATCCACGGCGTGAGCTCATACACATGCCTTCTGCAGGCGTCCGGAGAACAGGCGTGTTGTTCAGTTTAGAGCGCACACTGCTGTTGTTGTTTCTTCAGTTTATTTTCTGGTCGATTGCACTTGTTTTGAACTCGTTGTGCTTTCTCCATCACTCACCAGTGCCCGCAGAACGGGCTGATATACAACACTGATAGCTTTTGGCAGACGGGCCCAAAACGTGCACGGGTAGCTTTCTGTGGCATATGTACAAGTTCCCATCCTTCATGCGGAAGGTAGAAACACACATCACGAACGCTATGCATACATACAACGTCTTATACACTGGGTTTCTCGCTCTTGGTGTTTTGAGGTGGCAGGTCCTCTCACTTTTCCTGTCGTTTATTAGGACGGCCCTGAGGACATCTACTCTCTCCCCTCTCCCTGTTAGCTCCACTTCAGTCCTTTCTCTACTTCTTTGTCTTACCTCAAGATCTGCGAGTGGCGCACTGTGCGTTCGGAGGAATTGAAGATGGGGGTGGCAGTGTGGCGGTGTTGTGCGGTGGCGGGGCACAAACGGAGGAAGATGGTAAAAAGATGAAATCGTTTCCAGATGATTTTTATTTTTTCTCCCATCAGTCCTGTCGTCTGCCCCTCTTGACGCATGGCAAACTCCGGCGTCCTGGTGTTACGTGTAATTTCGGCTGTTTCACGTCCCGATGATTTCATCAGGATAGAGCCAAATATCCGAATGGTTTGCATACTCCCGGTCCCGGTGCCGGTACAGCAATCCCTTCCCTCGCAAAGTCGATCAAGTTTACGAACAACGAGATTTGCAGCGCATCGCTTCCAACAGAGACCAGGAACTTAGACTAATTAGCGAGAAAAATCTCTCTCTGTCGGGACTCGAACTCATGAAGTGGCCCGTAGCAGGCTGCGAGGCTACCCACTAGACCACCCAGGCGACCGGTGTGTGTGTCACGCAGTGAAGAGCCAATATTATGAGAGGACGAGATCAGCTCCCACATTTATTTTAATTTGGCACCCTGCTTCGACAGGAAAACAGAAAGAAAACAGGAACCTCTCTCTGGTTGAGACCGCTCAGTCATCAGCGCGCACGCCCTCATTTTGCGACTTGCGGGCGGTGCGCACGACTCCTTTGGGGGTCTTTCCCTTATTTCTACGTTTTCTGTTGGGCATCAATGAATGTGTTTGTGTGTGTTTTTGTCCTGTTTATTATGGCGACAGTTATGGATGCCCTCTACTCTGGGTGAGCGGAGAGTCCGGGGTTGTGGTGGCTATGTCCTGCCACCGGAGGTTGGCTATTTCCTTTGGTGCAATGTGGCGAGGAATGCCAAGCGTGACCGAGCGAACTCAGTCAAGCTAGAGTGGTGCGGAGAGTGTGGGTGAGCCTTCGTGGACTCATTTCCCCATCCTCCTAAAGATTCATCAACTATTCGCAGCCGTTTGGAATCTGTAGGGTCATGACCCCTTGGGACCAACAGTGATCTATTATCACATATCCCTTGGATCTGACTCTTTATTTACGTGTGTGTGTTTATGCTTTCTGAATCTCCATATCCTGACCTCCACACAGTCCCCCCATTTTTCATGGTGAGACGTGTACTACACTTTTCAGTGTATTTTTTCCTACAACTTCATTCATCCAGGGTCACACAACAAGCGGTAAACACCAGGGCTTTTTTCTTCTTCGTATTTCTTTTCATGCCCCACCTTCCTCCTGCGGTGCGTGCTGAATTTTTATTTTATCGCGAGAAGGGTCCAGCCGTCCCTTTCCCTCGTCGACGGTGCTAACGTCGAAGTGTGGTACTCACGAGAGCTTGTTGTCAGTATGTGTCGCGTTCACCCGCCGCACATACATACCGTAAATTTTTCACCTCATCACGGGGATTCGAACTCACGACTTCTGCGACTAGCGGATTACGAGGAAACCACCGGCAATATGGAAGCAGGGAGTGCAGCATATAGATATTTACCTCTTGAGAATGAGACATTTCACGAAACCTTGGGAGAGTTACTTCAGACAAGGTTCCGAAGTATTGTAAGTAAGCGAGGAGTGGAAACACCAGCCGCGGGGGGCGATGCCACTGTTTGATCCCGTACTATCTGAGGAAAAGAACTGACTCGAAAATAATTTAGTACGGCCACAGTAGTAAATCACTACATACAGTCGTGGTCCCGGTGCCGGTGAAATCGTTTGGAGCAGATGGAATATGCAAGTTGTTCCATACTCTCAATAATAATGCCGGTCGGTGGAATCGGCTGGATCGCACCCGGCATTCTACCGGGACCACCTACTTACCTACGCCAGACCAACAACCGAGACCTTCACTGCCACAACGCTTGTGGCACGCAATGACAGAGCCGACGACAACGAATCGCGCTACAAAGAGGGCCACGTTGCCTGTATAAGACGGTTAGGAGTGCCCCCACGAAATATATTCATGATGACCACGGGCGAGAGAATCGCCGGATCATTTAGTTCCAATAGCGCAGCTCGGGTCGAAGTTACACTTGTCATAACGCTGCGCGAACACAACTACACAAACGTATGCTTTGGAATCTGGAATGCGAAACACACCGACCGTAGAAACGCGACATTTACAACCAGATTGTGAATTTTCTCTTCATCGCTTTCTTTTTTCCGAGATCCTACACGTGCTTGTGGTGGAGTGGACCGGTGCACTCCCACGGGCTCGGCAGGCGACGGCGCGAGCTTGGGCAGAAATTTCAAGCGGGCGGGATTGGCGCCAAAAAAAAATGTATTGTGCATGACCGTCGGTGAGTGGATCAATCGTATTTTTTCCAATTGCGCACACCCGGGTGGGAATAAATACAACACTGACACGCAAGCACACATGGTTCGGGGTTTCGGAATGCGTAACCACGGCGTAGCGCAACCTATCGTACTCCACCGCGTTCGGAGTCACGCACCACACCCCGCCACCGTCTGCTGCAGCCAGGGCCGAGCGGTCGCCAAATTCGAGGTCGCCCACGGCCGGCCATGCCAACCGCACCTACCGTCAAAGACGGGTATTCTCCGCGTACCAGAGGAGCTACAGAAGAGCTAGAGCCTCAGTGCGGCGATCAGTCGTTTTAACTAATTTCAGACTAAGTCTACCCCTACACCGACGTCGCGGCGCGAGAGCGAAGTTTTTTTCTGCTGTAACGCAGAAAACGCGGTCCCCGCCGCGGCGTAAACAGTGCCGGCCTCCAAGGCGCAACCAAACTGCTACGGATAAAAGAAAAGGAAAAATAAACTAAACATTATTAAAGCGTTCAATAAGAGTTCGCGTTCGGGTGCACACGCTCGAAGGAGTAGCAGCAGTAGTCGAGCATGTGCAGGACGCCAGAATATCCGGAAAGGCGGGCCAGGGGGAAAAGATGGACGGAAAATCGAAAATTCCGGTCTTGGGTAGACAACAATGACAGGAATCAAGCTACTCGCCACGACCCCCGCCACAAACACACACGTAGCTTTCCCTGCATACGCGAAGAAGCATACGACAGGAGACTGGGCAGGTCGCTACTTCAATACCGTGTCCAGCTCTTGGTGCATACAACTACTAACAACATCACCCGCCCCCAAACCAATAATGATGGTATAATACCAGTCGAGATACCCCCAAAAATCAACACAGCATTCCTTCTAGTTCGACGCTCTCCGCACGCTGTCGCACATATTTACAGTGCGAACGCTCGCTTACTATCGCTATCATTACCGCCACCACTAACACCGCTATCTATTCCGCATACAGGTACCGCATGGGGGACCCCGTTAAAATAATCTCGACATTATCTCGAGGAGGGGGGGGGCGTATGCTCCCAGGACACTCGTTCCCTTACAGTAAATAGGGCCAGAAAAGGGTAGGGGGGTCAAAAAAAGATAAAAAGCGAGGCGATCATCAAAATTTTACAGGAATATACCCTTTTGCCCCTCGCTGGCGCTGTGAATATCCGGAAGAGGGACGCCAGCCTGTTTGTTTGACCTCCGCCGAAGGTTCAAGCCAGAGGAAAAAGCGTTCCATCTTTCCCAAAACGCCAATCAATCCTCCTCCGCCCTGCATGGCACCGCGGGGAAAGGACAACGACGTCGCAGGAAGCGAGACCCTTCCCTCCCTCCCTCCCTCACTCGCCTTGTCGGAATGAACACGATGATAACAAAACGATAACGACGAAGAACCTTAGACTACAAGACATCCTCAACAACCCCCCCCCCCCCCCCCCNTCGCCCGAACATCACAACCCCCCACCCAAGACGACCGTTACAACCACCAAAAAGAGTCGACCGTTTGAAAACCACTACTTCAAAAAGTTGGGGGCCATGCCGTCACCAGGGCAAGCAAGAGAGTACCCACATGCCTGCCTGCAAACTCATCTTCCTGCGCACTGACTACCGCCCGGGCCTGCCTCTGGAAAACCTTTCGACCCCCAACTACATACCGCTACTACCCCCCATGGCACAGGCAAGGACAATGACCAGCTTTTGGTTCATCGTAGCCTGGGCTGGCGAAAACTCGGTAGTTCGCTCCGTGCCGGCGTTGGAGGGATGCGAGGTCAACGGTCTAGAGGCTGCGGCGTGCGTTCGGATTAGTGCACCCCCCCCCCCCCCCCCCCCCCCCCCCCCCCCCCCCCCCCCCCCCCCCCCCCCNGCGGCGTGCGTTCGGATTAGTGCCCCCCCCCCCCACCCCCCCGCCGCCGCCCCGACCCCTGCCGCTCCTCTTATCCCGCCTCCGAACTCTTGCCAAGTCTGTCGCAAGAAGACATTGCCAAACGCCTGCTGTGCTGCGGTACGAGGACCAAACTCTGGTGCTATGGAAGGCCTCTAAATTCGAAGGATGAAAAGAAAAACAAAAACACATATTCTCTCACAATCACTTACACAAATTTTCACGGAGTAGCATTAATATCCCATGTCGGTGTGTAGCACGCCGTTACCAAGAACGGCACCGTCGTGTGGCATATAGCAACGATACCGTTCGTTGTTCCTCGTTCCGTTCAATGATTTCGCTTTCCCGCCGTGCTAATCCCGGCATAGCCAATGAGCCGTGATTCGGAGTGCCGCCGGCGGATTCATTCAACCCTCATACCCCCCCCCCACCCCCCCCGGGTGCAAGTTAACTGCGGAATCCAAACGATCCGCAAATCCGCGATGGAACAGAAATCCGTTCAGATTTTGCGACACAACCCCCTCGCCACCTGAAACCGTACACCGAAAAAACTCAACCTAAGATGTCCCGCCAAGTCTTGTTCGCCTAACGATCCATCTTGTCCGAGAAATACTCCACCGCGGGCACCTGGAGGGAATAATAAACACACACACAGAGATCAACAACGCGCGACGTTTCATCCAGGGCAGAGGTGGGATAGGTTTTTAAGGTCCGGAACATGAGCCATAAAACAGAGGGGGTGGGTACTCATGTTTTGCATGCATTAACTGTTAAACGATTGACCACGCGTCCTCGAGGAGACGGTGCCCTACAGGACCAGGTATCCAATGCCCCGTGGTGGTGCGCGCCAAGCTGTCGACCATGCATCCACCCCCTACTACATCGGCCACCGTTCCTACACTACGATAGCGATGCAGTGCTTGCGCCCGATTGTTCCACCGCTAGCGACAGGAGCGAAGAGCTATTATATCCTATTGCTGGGTAATGCAGCGGAGATTGGTCGGGGGGTGCAGTGGTGTGCCACTACACCTTGTGGAGCCATGCAGGACATGCCGCTACACAGGGCATATCATGTCGCAAAACCGGGCCCACCCCCTCACCGTTGGCTACCGCACTCAAGAACTCTATGAATGCTTCAAGCCGACGCTGGTGTTCTTAGTTCCTAATAATAACCGATGTATTCACTACGATGTACAACAGCCCATGAATTAACCTTTCGCTTGCGTCACCCTCAGGAGGCTAGGCACCCAGGGGGGAGGACCTTGTAGGTTGAAGACTGTTATATAAATACGGACCGGTTTGGCGAGAAAATAAGTTAATGAGGGCATAGAACAAGGAGAGGGTGCGCAGACCCAATCCCTAATCCTACCCCAACTGCCTCGACTGCATGCTTTCTCCAACATGTTTGCTGCATACAAAAACCCTGCCAAGGTTACTGTACCGATAAATACCTTATTGCCCAGGCAAGCGATGTCCAGAGGGCTACATTGCCGTTCGTCCAGCGAGAGCACGTCAGCGCCGTTCTGGATAAGGAACTCGCAGCACCTTCACATGTAACGAGCAAAACAAGGAAAAAAAAACGCAACATGAAAGACAAGACGCATGCATTCGCGGAACAGGTTATCAACCAAATCAATACTTGACTTGACACGCGCCAAGGTCACCCACGTTGCTCTGCTCAGGTGGTTGGCCTACCTTCTGCGTGACCTCCACCATCGTTACTGACACGGCCTGCTTAGCCGATTGCCGTGCATGAATCTTGTCCCGACCCTCCCCGGGGTGCTGGCTCTGTTGGTGTTGATAGTAGACCTTACCCACATGTGACAGGTGGGTACTACAGGTGGGTGAGGTCTGCCATCGTCCGAACAGGATCACCATCTCGGGGAGGATGGCGACAAATTCGTAGGGGGCAGTGGGTGTAGCAGGCCTTGCAGTAAAGATGGTTGGGGCATACTCAGGAGGGAGGAACCACCGGAGCAGAGAAGCGTGGTGCACAAGCAAAAAAAAAAAAAAAAAGCATCCGGTCGCCCCGGAAGTCTAGTTGGTATCCTCGAAAAACTTCTAGTGGCCATGGTCAGGGGTTCGAATCCCGGCGTAAGCGGGCTTTCCGGCAGAGTGAGGTTTTCTCTCGCTTCCGTTCCTGGCCTGCGTGGATGCGCTAGTTCGTGCATGTACACAGAGAAGAGAGTGCTGCACTGTTCAGTAAAAGTCGTAAGCAAGGTACCGCAGGAGGGGTGAGTAGGGGGAAACCCTTCTGTGTGACCACGGGCTGGAGTAACACGGCACAAGTGCCGTGCGCGGTGATTTGAAGACGTGAAGACGAAAAAAAGAAAAAGAAAAAGAGCACAACCGCGACACGCAAGCAAAAGAAACACATTCTCGACGACGACGACTCAAGCAACTTCGAAGAAGGAGCAACAAGGCACCAGAGCGGCAGTGGACAAGTTAACCACAACAGCAGCAGACAGGTGTGGTGGTGGGAGGCCGCCAAGACTAGAAACAAGCACTGTCAACGGTAAACACTACTGCTGCCAGTGCAGCAAGTGGGGCCGGAGGTCCGAACCCTTGGAGGGGGACGGTCGTCAAATCCGCGGCGGAGATGTTGTTGTTGCCTCACATTACAAATCCAGTTTAGGTGTCGTCTCAGACCTTGTAATATCTGTAATATCTGTAATATCTGTACTCGTCCAACTGACGCGGACGCCTTCCGTAGTCACAGACCTGCTAGGCATACCCCTCTACAGTAGAAATAAAAGAAACGAAAAACAAAATATGGTGGACTTTGTCTTCTTTGCTACAATTTTATTTCTCACCCCAGGTCTCCGGTTGCCGCGGCGCAATGCAGGGCTGTCCTGTGCTCATCCTCGGGGTTCGTCCATCGTGGATCGCCCCCTAAAAATAACGAACGATTGGCAAAAATGGGAAGGGAGCGAAGCAAGCGGCACACACACTTGAGACTGAAAAGCTTCAGTGGTTAGCTGTGTAGCCTGCCAATTAAAAAAACACACACATACACGCGCACAACAGGCACACGGATGCGAAAGTTGCGACTTACGTGACGGAGGTACATACGCACCGTTTGGTTGCCAAAGCAACACGAATCATGACGAGGACAACCTGAAACACATAGAAGATACACGCGACCACGTTCGAAACCCTTGCAGGCAGCGAGCGGACGTTTGTCGGAACAAAAACCGGACGAAAGACATGCACACGAACACTAACGACAGAGAGACAAGCCACCACTTTCGAAACCCTGAGGACAGCAAGCAGGATATGTACACACACCATGGGCCGTCTCCTCTTGTGTCATCGCGGGCCAGCATCCCAACGGCTCCATCGAGAAAATGGCTTGATGTTGTTCAGTGGGGTATGTTAGGGGTGCCCAAAACAAATAGGCCGTAAACGCTGCTGCTGTCTGTCAGTCTATCTCACCGTGGGCCAACGCCTCGACGGCTCCCGCCAGATCCCCCAACGCCGCGCACTCCGACAGCCGCAACGACCACATCTCCGCCCCGCCCCCCCTCGCCGCGAAGCCGCCGCTCCCGCCCGTCGAGTCCCCGTTCACCCCGCCGCCGTCCCTGCTAGATCGCCGGCTATGGGTGCTGCTGCCACCACCGCCTCCCTCGGAGCTACTGTNCACCCCGCCGCCGTCCCCGCTAGATCGCCGGTTATGGCTGCTGCCGCCGCCACCGCCTACTTCGGAGCTACTGTGGTCTCCTTCTCCCCCTCGCGCCGCGCCCCAGCCCCCGCCCGCCACAAGCCGGCTCGTGGACCCCTCGACGAAACCTTTCCAGACGTATTTGGCCTGGATGTAACTCCGCTTGAGGTCGCCGGGGGAGTTCGCCGTGGGCTTTTCCCAGCCCTCCCGTTGCTGGTTGTTGCATTGAGCGTGAGGGGGGGGAGGGGCGTACTCGTGTGTAGGAGTACTTGGACCATTGACCACGTGCCCTCGAGAGGACCGAGCATTGGACCGACTACCGACGGCCAACCGTCACTTCCTACTTTGCTGCCGAAGGTGGCTCAAAAATGTCTTCTGTAGTTGGTGCTTGGGTGATGGGCGATTAATGCTGTGCTGTATGGCAGCATGAACGTTTGGCGCTCGGACTGATGTAATGCGCTGTAAGTGCTTGCGCCTTCCACCACTTGAAAGTTAGGCAGCACGGTGACGTTGACTTATAGGTGGAGGAAACGAATTCAGCCATTGGGGTCAACAACAACCACCACCACAAACAACAGCAACAATTCAAACTAACAGCAACAGGACATACTGTTTCGACACAACATCCCCCGCAGCGACAGCAACAGCTCCCACAGTAACGAATTACAGCTAGACATGACGCAACAACTGCAACAGACGCAGCAGCAATAACAATGCTTAAAGTAGTAACACGCCACAACATCAGCAACAGCAACAAGGGGGGGCAACATTGACGAACAGCAGCAGACTTACCGTATATGACACAAGAAAACACACCCCCTGGACCAATTTTCAATGCTCGATTACTCCACGACGAAGAGGATGCATAAACGAAACGATACGTTTTTGGAAAGCTCTCGACGAGACGGTTCCAACGCCGCCGTTTTCGGCGCCGTGACTCTTTCTGTTGTTGAGAAAACGAGATTTGAAAAATCGGTCCAGGGGGTGTGTTATCTTGTGTCATTTACGGCAACCCAACGACAGCAGCAGCAACAACCAGTAAAAAGCATATGTCTCACCGCGAGGGAGTGCTCCCAGATGGCGTTAGACCTGGCGTTCCCCACCTCTCTCAGCACACTCAAGTCTATCTCGTCCAAAGCGTCCAGGCCAAGCGATCGCACCTTCGACACGTGCGTTCCCAATGACCGGTGGATGCCTGCCGAAATATACAAAGGATCGCGCCACCGTGGACATGCATGCCAGCAGAATCAAACGTACCAAAAGGAAGTAGTCAACATGAAATCCGAACCGAGAAGCTAGAGGAGCCACAGATGGGGCAAAAAAAACTGAGGGAATCCGGGGGCGGGAGGATATGAAAGGACGCTGCTGTAGAACTAGCAACTAAGTGACTATATGCGTGAGGCGGAGAGGGCCTAACATCAGTACTTACCGCTGCACTGAATGCACACGAGGACGCCAAGGTTGATAGAGACCCAGTCGGGATTGGGGGCCCCGCAGTCTGCGCACTCCGGGTTCGCCTGGTCGAGCGACAAGACCACAGCATACATGGCCGACGGACCCACGAGCGGGAGGAGAGGAGAGGAGAGGGGAGGGAGACAAGCAAAGGGCGTAAGCGGGGTGAATACACGAAAGGAATTATTGGCAAACGGCAAATGTTCCGTGCCGCACAGCGAATGCTTTGCATGTGTGTGTAAGGAGACCGCTGTTCTTCTGGACTGGTTGTTGAGACCGTATTGGCCTGAGACCGTCTGCTCCTAACGTCTAACACAGCCTGCGAGATGAGAGGCAGATAGATGGCAGGACCCCCAACACACGCATAGGGCAACAAAATGGCAGACTTGGAGGGAACACATACGTATTGCACACATGTCCACCTTACCGCCTCTCCGCGCTGCCCCCTCACACTCCCTTCACACTACATACCCACCCATCAACATGCCGTTACCACGTCCGTCGTCGAACAAACATATCTCTAGACCTGCAGAAAAAACAGCCTCTGTCACACCTTCATGACCTCCTGCACCAGGGGGTTGTTGGGGGGCCTCCCAGCGTCTCCTCCACGTGCCCCCCCTCCGCCGTTGGCGAGACTTCTGTACCCTTCCTCATCCGAGGTGTCGTCCGCGTAGCTCGTTCCGGCCCCGCTGTTGAGCCGCCCTGTTGGGGTCCCGCCGCCGCCGTCGTCGCCTGGTAAAGGGGTGCTGCCGGTAAGCTGCAGGGGCAAGCGTTCGAACCCCCGATGACGATCCGCAGGTAAGTAGCAAGCATTACGAGACGATTAGGGTTCGAGGGTGACAAGACGGTTATGGTTAAGTTGTTCATAAGGGCGTATGCGCTATGTCTCTGCCTCTGTCTCTGCCTTTCTGTCCTTGTCTCTGCCTGCCTCTCTCTCTCGCCCTCTCTCTCTCTCTCGCCCTCTCGCTTAGTCTAACTCTGTCCTGTCCGCCTGTCTGTCTGTCTCTCCTCTGTCTCTATTTCCCCCCCCGTCTCTCCCCCCCCCTCGGTGTTTGCCATCGGGGTTGGGTTTTCGTCGCTTGGCAACGACGTTGTAAAACAAGCCGCCCCCCCCGGTGATTGCCATCGGGGTTGGGTTTTCGTCGCTTGGCAACGACGTTGTAAAACAAGCCGCCCCCCTCCGGTGTTTGCCATCGGGATTGGGTTTTCGTCGCTTGGCAACGACGTTGTAAAACAAGCCAATTCACTTCGTGAACTCGGCAACCAGGTTACCGTTCTTTTGTTACCTTTGTTTTTTTTTTTTGGCGGTAACCATAATGGTGGTCGAGTAGATCATGTTGTGCGGGGTGGAGAACCCTCGCTCCGCGCAAGGGGGATGATCGCACCACGTTGTGTTAAAATGGTCAAGCACCCTCGAGGCAGTTACACAGTGCTTACAACTGTCTCTGGAAGTGAAAGCACCAGAAAATAAATTAATTCATACGCAGCTGTCATCCGTACGCAAGGAAGTAAGCACAAGATGCCGAACACCCTTAGCAGGATGCAGCGCACCCTTCATGCGACTCGCCGAATATCTCACGGCGCTTCGCGCTTGGTGATGTGAGAGCCTGGTCCGGTGAGAACCCGGCGTGCTCCGTCCCGGCTTTGTAGGGATGCGAGGTCAATGGTCTAACGACTACGGCATGCACGACTATGAGTACACCCCCCCCCGTCTCTCTCCCGTACCCCTGTATCCCCCCCCCTCCCCATCAGCAACCCCGCTCCCTTCACTCATCTCTGCACCATACCCCAACCTGCCCCTCCAAACCACAGGCCACACCTGCGATTCGATAGTTCTTCGGATGCACGTGACCCACGACGTCAGCTCGTCCGGCCCCTCTGCCTGAAGCATGTAGCTACGTCGGTTTGCGGAGAAAACCTCGAAGCAGTAGAGGGCATCTGAAGAGTGTACTTCCTGTCGACACAAAGGGCGGGGTTACTCACGATAAGACCTTTTGTCCTCGCACCCCTACAACGCCAGAACGGACCGAGATGCCAGTTTTAGGGGGTTGGTTGGTCAGGCAGGTACACTGAACCACACCTGCCTCCTTGATTCCTTACACACGGCCGAGCGGCGAGTGTAATAAACAAAAGTGCCGAGCCAATCCTTCGCAGAAAATAACACAGCCGAAACAAAGAACAACTAGGCCAACAAGCTCAAACCTGAGCAAACAGCAGGCACACCAATGTGACTGCGGCCCGACGACATGAACGGACGTCTACCGCTGTGCTCAGTAGGATGACAACAGCAACAATCACCTGCTGAACGCGACAGCAGCAGCAGCGCTGAGGTACAGCTCAGACGATGGCCGAACCTCCCCGGGGCTAGTCGGCCCCGTCTCCTCGCCCGCCACAAACGCCCTTGGTCATGGAAACCCCCCCCCAGCCAACAGAGAAAACGGGAAAAACCCACCTTGACAGTGCACAGCATGACGTCGCAGATGAGCATCTTCTGCCTGCTCGGGTCGTTCTTAAGGTAGTACAGCTTAGACCCGTCCAGCACAAACCACCGTCGATTCCAGTGCTGCCAAAAAGACGCATTTCGTCGCAAGGGCAGAGGTCGCAAGGGGGCAGGCACACGCAGAACGAACGACGCGGAGCCATCGAGGGGAACAACCGAACGAAGAGAGGAAAGAAGGCGTAAACACGGAGCCCCGCAATACGAGGGACCGTCAGCAAACACACCAAGAAGTAGCCCTAGATGCAACACGTGCCGCGAGCGTAGGGTGGAGCCGGAGAGATAGTTTTCCTCCTGTACAGAAGTAGCACAGAGTGGCGGCGGCGGCCGCTCTCGCATGCGCGAAAAGGCCGAAGAAGGCACACCGTGGTTCAAAAATAACACGGCGTCAGGCAACGGCGACGGCGGCACACCATGGGCCCGGCACGGTGCCGTATCAGCAAACGAGAGAGCCGTGGCGGTGATGATACCGTATGGACGACCTTCGAAACGTCGCGGAACGTTGCTCGCATATCAGCAAAAGCACAGGCAGGTCGGTAGGTCGCACTGCACTTGTGAATTATATGCTACGTTGAGATGGACTCCAAATTCGTTGTGGATAGAGACGAAGAATTATTCATTTTTTGTACGAAAAAAAAAAAAAAAGGTGTCGCGGAGGAAGGATTGGCAACGGTTCGTACGAAAACGGCACGCGACCTCGCAAAAACCGCGCTTGCAAAACGGTCGGGAAGAGAGAGACTACCTGCAGCATCTTGGACGAGCTCTTCTTGAACAGGTACCCTTCCTTCACGCAGCCGGGCGTCGCGCGTCGTGTGTACACGTCTTCCATCCTCCGGATCTGAAAAAAACAAGCAGAGGAAACAACGACAACAGCAAGGGGGCAAAAGGCCCGAGACACCGGGGGGGGACAAGACCAACGGTCAACGGGGGTGGGAAATCAAAAACTAATGCGAAGTACCAAATAGTTGGGGGGCCAACAGGTGTGGGTATCACGACAAATAGGAAACCTTACGACGAGATGGTTCCGAAGCCTCTATTGTAGGCAATGGTGTTGTTGCCGCCGAGTAGTCGAGCTTTGAAAACCACAACACATGCTTGTGTTTTCGGGAACCTCACGACGAGATGGTTCTGAAGCTGCCACTTTAAGCACTGTTGCTGTTGCTGCAGAGTAGTCGAGCTTTGAAAACTGTGTCCAAAGACAACACAGGGGTGTCGTATCTTTATGCAGCCTACGGTGTCCACCATCCTCCTCAGGTGTCCGCACTTGTACAATTGCTATTCCCCCGCGTGCCCTCCCCCCCTCGCGCGCCCCATCTGTCGGGCTTCTTCATGCCTTTCCAAAGCACAATTGCCTAGACTTCCTACAACCACCATCCTTCACTTGCCCACTCCCCCCCCCACTCCATGCCAGGCCCATTATTGTCTGTTTGAAGCACATAGAGTACACCTAGACTTGTACCCTCCGCGTACCCCCATCTTGCCTGTTCAAAGCACAGGTGCCTAGACTCCGAAGCCGCCGCCGCCTGCCGCACCGCGGCGGTGAGCTTCCCGCCCTCCAGCCCCTTCATCATCGACGTCCGCTGCAACGAGTTCGTCCGCGAGAGAGGGCTCGGTGCCGCCGCGCCCCCCCCCATACCCGCCCCGGGAACTGCTGATCTTCTCGTGACCTCCAGCGTCTCCTGGTAGTCATTCATTCGGGAGTCGCGGGGAGGGGCAGTATCGTGACATTCTGTTCCGAGTGTTGGACCACGGGTGGTGCCAATAGCAGCGCAGCCAGTAGTCTACGCATGTGTTCCTAAGAAGGCAAACATACTGGATACAATATAGAACCGGCTAAGTTGGGTACAGGGTCAGCGTGTCCCCTGCCTGGTCCTTTTGCGTAATGCACTTGACTTCTTTGCGTAGGCAGTCCTGCGCAGCAGTAGCGGTTCATGACTAATGTGGGACCGCACGTTCAAAAAACATATACTTCCACGTCATTCGCTCGATCTGTTGTTATGGTTCAAGAGGGAGATAATCTCAGGAGAAGTACGGCTCACGTTGGTGAGAGCGATGGCCGAGTCGAGTTTGGCCTTTTGCGCTTCCCAAGGGCCCTCCGCAGCGGCCAAGGAAGCTCGCACTCGCTCCGTCTGGTTCTCGAGGGCCCGCTGTCGTCAACCATGTTGTGTCATCATAACGATAACAAAGTAAGAAAGCACGCAGGTTGGTGGTCGCTGCTGCTTGAGTCAAATGACAGTTGTAAGGAAACGCGCACAGGATTTGACGTCATGATTGTCGCCAAGAGCAACGATACGAGCACACAGGTTGCTCTCAGCAGCAGCAGCAGCAGCAGCAGCAGCAGCAACAGCAGCAGCAACAGCAGCAGCAGCGAAGAAAGCAGTATAAAAAGGGCAAAGCATAGTCTCAAGCGACACCCCACAGTGCACCGTGCCCCCCCCGGCTGGTCAAAGTCTATACCTTGTACGGCGTGTACGTCTCTACGAGGGAGGTCGACTCTCGGAAGTAAGACCCGATCACGTTAACCGAAGAGAGCACGCAGTCAGCAACCTCCAGGTACTTCTGGTTCTCGGCCATGCTCAGCTCTCGGACCAACGCGAATCTCGCCTGTTGCGCGAAGCGTGGTAACAAAACACGCAGCATGAACACACAGCGAGGCACAAGAGCCAGAGAGAGAGAGAGAGAGAGAGAGAGAGAGCGAACGAGAGATAGAGAGCAAGGGAAAGAGCGAGAGTATCCGTGAGAGGGTGAGAGAGAGAGGATGAAAAAAACGTACAGCGTTGTTGTGGATGTACGACGGCAAGGTGCATCGCAAGGGTGTGATCCTAAAGAAAAACTCCATTAAAAAAACGGAAAGACAAAGTCTAGCCGAGTGGGCTGGCGGTCGTCTTGGTACAAATGCNAATGCGTTTTGAGGGTGGGGGGGGGGGGTGGGGGGGTCACCTTCTGCGAGTCGTGGTGCGCCTTCGCGAGCTCCGCGGCCCGTTGGTCGATGATGTCGTCCGTGAGGTGCTTGGCCTTCATGGGTCCGTGAAGGTACTTCTCCAGCGACTAACATGACACGCCACGCCAACGTAGCGTATCGTATCGTATCGCGACCCGCGCGCAGAACCCATTCGCACCAAACCCGTACCGATAGGCAGCATGGCGATGGCGTAAGGCAAGGCAACAGCAGTGTCCAAAGGGCAGCTCAGGACACACATGTCACTTGCAGAATTGCGTCGAAGCGAGCGGGGCTACTGCAACGGGCTTGCGGCCGTCGCGCCGCGTGTGGGAGGAACAAGAGAAGAGACAGCGAGTTGCATTACGTAAACGCATAATGATCACCTACCTCAGTTTTCGACGGGATGTGGTTGATGATCACCAGGTCTGCAGCCAACGAATAATATTCTCAAGCTGGGTTAAGGCCCCCAGTCAACGACGTGTGGTCAACGGTGCAACAGCTGAGGCATGCCAAACCCGAGTACGCCAACCAAACGCCTCCCTCACCGCAACAAAAACCTCCTCCGTTGCTTCCCAGGCCTTCTTGCGCTCCGCCAGCTTCCCGTGCGCCGCTCGCGTGTAAGCTTCCATGGGTTCGACGAAGCTCTTCTGAATCCCGTCCATGAACATGCTGTGCGACAAGGCCTGCTCTTTCAACAGCCGCCCAAACTGCACCTGGTCCAAGTGGAGGTCCGGGGGGTAGCGTCGGCATTAGCGACCGTGGAGTTTGGAACAAAGTCTTACATATTAGAGACGATGGAGGTTGGGAAGAACCATTTAGTCTAGATACCGTGGAGTTTGAGACGATGCCTTTACTAGAGACCTTGGCGTTTTGGGGCGAAGCCTTAAACAGTCGAGGCCATGAACTTTGAGCCTATACGAGAGAGCATGGAGTTTGAGACGAAGCCTTTAGTACAAGAGACCAAGGGGGTTAAGGAGAAGTCTTTCTCTGTATGCCTATTCCGAGCTGCACCTCGATGGCAATCAGGGACAGGCCAAAACAAAATGTCAGGGATGTAGAGCCAACGCCAATGCCCATGTTGGCGTGCTTGGCGTGCGTATGCACGCCACAGCACAGAAGTACAAGAGCAATGTCCGATGCGGGGACGGCAGCGCTTCAGCACTACTGGTGCGTGCCTGCGTGCCTGCGGCGGCAAACCTGCTGTCACCGTCCGACGGAGCAACTCCCTGTCAAAGCAAAGCCCAGCCAATACTTTTGCGCCAATGCACAGCCATCATCACCATCACCAACAACAGAAATAATAGCTCTTGAGACCACCAGCACCACCGCCAACAAACCGACACCGCCTGCAGCAAAAACGAAAACCACACCGCCCGAACCGGAGAACAACAAAACACAAGCACACAGCATAGCAGGAACCTCATGAGCAACGACAGCAAGGCGTCTGTCCGTCTTATCTCACCAGTACGGGAGTCAGAGTACCAAGAAGAGGCTCACGGTCCCTATCCCCCACCGCCCCTCTTAGCGCCGTACCCCCCCCGTCGCTCCCCGCTCCCCAGGTCCCGCTGTCCCCTCGCGACTCGTCCGAAAACGATTCCGCTCGTGCCGGCGCGTGGAGTTGATCCGCCGACCTGTGAAAAAATGTTTGTCGTCGCGGTGGGTTGGGGTTTATCGAAAAGTGCATGGCGGTTTCGTTCCGGCGGCGAGGTTTAAGGGTGTTTACTCTTGCCACCGTTGGGGCCTTCGGTTCCCCTGTGGTCGACTGTTCCGTGATGCAAGGCCGTGTACCCTGTTATATTGTCGGGGTTCAGGGCACAAGGGCACGCCATGATGTGCAACGTGGAGTGTTCTCGAACGTGCGTGTGTGGCATGCTTGCGAAAAGCACCGCGTGCCAACGGTCGAGGCCGAGCGAGCCGGCGGCAAGAAGATGTCGAAACGGATGAGCTCATGGGCAAACCACCACTACCAACAGCAACAACAACAACAACAACAACGACGACGACGACGACGACATTACAACAACATTACAACAACAACGAGACAACAGCACCACCGACAACAACAACAACAACAACAACAACAACAACAACAACAACAACAACAACAACAACAACAACAACAACAACAACAACAACAACAACAACATTACAACATTACAACAGCAGCAGCAACAACAACAACAACGACAACAACGACAACAACGACGACGACGACGATGACGACGACGACGATGACGACGACGAACACAAACAGCGTCCAAAAACGACGCGAGACACCAGCAGTAAGAAGCGAAATCTCACTCACATGAGGAAAGCTCCGAGGTCCTCCGAAGCCTTCGCCATGGCCACCCCGGCCTTCCTAAAGTTCTGTGTCTCCCTAACGATGTCCCGCAGGTAGTGGGTCACAAGCCCCAGACGCTCGTGGGCGGCGTTAACAGAGTCCTGTACGTCCGGTCTGTTGGCCAGAAAGGGAATCTGGATTTCCAGATGGGTTTCCAGGTGGCGTTATTGTCAGGGGCAAGGGGTTGTGTTGGGGTTAGTCACGGCAAGGGAGCAGTTGACAAGGAGGAGGTGACACGGCAGCAGCAGCAGCAGTAGCATCTCCACGTCCTCATCTCCACACCGATACGCACGTGCCGAACGAGGAGAGTTGGAAACCAGATTACTCGACGCCTACAGCACATCATCCCCGTGAACACCGACTTCCTCTGTTCAACTTAGTGCCAGGGCCTGGGGCACGAGGTATCTAAGAGCCCCCAGCCTTGATCAACATTCCGCCGAAAGCTTTGACAAGCGGATAACCCCCCCATTCGGCATTAGTCTTGCTGTCTCTGAGTGAACAGACAGTAGCGTTCGCGAGGATACTAATCTTGGTTACAGTAGGGGGTACGGGGTGGGGTTAGGGATAGATACTGTAGGGATACGATAACCCCCCCGTCTGTTTCACAGATTAAGAACAATGAATTCCCGTGAAGGCGGTCCAGCAATACAGGGCCAGCTTTGGTACAAGCCTGTGTAGTTGTAGCAGACATACGGTTACGTGACAACCTTAGTCCACCCGTGCACGCAGCAACATGTGCGTGTTGCTGAGGGAATCGTGTCCGCTTATCGGCCAGACTTATGTGCAATGAAGGGAAATTCTCCGTAATTATACATGCAGCGTATGCGGGTCGGCGTACATGTTGAGTGGGTACAGAGAGAGGACAAGAAGCAGACAAATCAACGCTGATATTTATATTTCATCGCGTGTCTGTCCCGGACTCGTATCTGTAGATGGAGATGAATCCGATGTGTTTGGAAAAACAATCCCGAAGGGTGGACGACAGGCTTGCTTACCGTAGCTATGTGTCGACTATCGGTCGGGCACACACATATCGGTTCAGAATTCGTAAAAGAAGCCTGCTCTTCGATGTTCGATCCGAAAAAAATCGACCTGTACTTCGAGGATCTTGGACGATGCAACACGATACAAAAATACACACACGGGTTACACATGTCACGCCACAAACATCACCGCAGACCACAAGTCTTACGAGACCAATCGGTGTAAGAGGTGGAGACATGACACCTCCCCGTGACCGACTCTCAAAGCTCGATTGCTCCACGACCAAGATTGTCTGTACCGTACCGTATACCGTACCGTGAAATTCCGTGAGAGGCGGAGAGATGGCACCTCCCCGTGACCCACTCGCAAAGCTCGATTGCTCTCAAACTTCAAGTTGTGAATCCCGTACATCTACGACAAGCCCTCGACGATACGTTTCCAAAGCCACCATATTTGGTGTTGGCGCAAGCTTAGTCGTCGAGTAATTGGGCTATGAAAATCGGCCTGGGGGGCTGTGCCGTTTCTCCGCCTCTTGAGGTATGCCTCGTATCCCGATCGAGAACCACGTTATATGCATATGACGGTACTACTGTCAGCGCCGCCGCGGTTAACTTGCGGTAGAAACAGCAGCCTCTGCTTCTAACCTCATCGAACCGCTCTTGTGAAGCCGTGTGCATATACACTCTTAGGTCTGCAAACCTGTTTCGTTAACAAGTGGTTGCATTTGCACGCTGCTGGACACTCGGTGTTGTTGAGTACTTGCATGGGTCTCACCAGGGAGATTAACTACAGGAGCAGAGGAGCGTGGGCGTGCCTCAGGCGATATGGCCGCCGGAAGCTCTTCGACAGACCGAAAGCGCCATTCTGACTCAAGATCCGCCTGCTCCAGGCGGAGGCGATGGAGGCACTGCTGTACGGCTGCATGACATGGTCACCACTCAGCGGCCACTATCAGACGCTGCGGTCGATACACCACCGATTGTTCCTTCGAGTTATCGGGTACAAGCGCAAGAAAGACACCTACCGGCAGCTCTCTTACGCCCAGACGCTGAAGCGGGTCGAATGCCAGAGCGTTGAAGCCACGATCCGACAACGACGCCTACTATTCGCGGGAGCATTGGCAAGGCAGCCGGACGGGCGACTCCCGAAACGACTGACGCTCGGCGAGCTGGCAAGGGGGGAGAAGCGACGTAGGGAGGGACAGGAACAGAACTGGCCGAAGTGTGTGCTCGACGACCTGAAGGCATTCGGGGCCGACCACGGATCTACGAAAACCGATCCATGTTGTCTCGGAATCCCGGTACCGAAATACACGGCACCGAAGTTGAAGTGGACGGAAGCCGCGGAGGTAGAGGGGGGAGTACCCTGGCATGCGGCGGTGCTGCAGGGAGCTGAGAGGTTCATGACCTCCTGGCACGAGAAGGAAGATGAGGCCAGCAGACAACGGGCGCTCAGACGAAACCACAAGCCAACAACCATTGGGGCGGAAGGCGGGCAGGAGACGGACGAGACGGCGAGGGAAGAAAGCAAACGAGAATAGACGGACCGAGTGACGCGATACGTGCCGGATTGAAATTCTACTGGCCAATTCCCCCCGCCCAACGCTGCACCATGGCACCAACCCCCCACTAAAAAGCGATGGCGTACCATGGCAATGTATTATCGTTGGTTGGTGGCCATGTTTGCGTGTTTGCTTGTCGTTAGTGGTCTCTCCACCGTGTGCCTTTTCCTGTCTCTTGTTTCTTGATATTTTCGGCCTGGTGCCTTTTTGTCCTCGCTGTTTTTCATTTTGGCTTTCTCTTTCCTTAATCTTTCCTTTTTTCTTTTCTTATTTTCTCTCTTTTTCTGTGCCAGATGGCCTTGTCTCTGCATGCGTTGTGAACTACCAAGATTGAACCAAGGGGGTGCACCTCTTTCTCTCCGGCCTGCGATGGTGACTCCTAGTCTCAGTTGTTACTTCGCATAGCGCGCAGAGGGAGTGGGGGACTCCAGAATATCTGTCGTTAACTTATGTTGACTTGCGGACCCCTCGGGGCCAGTTTATTTGCGTGTACCTTTAGGGTGACCACGGGAATCGACCGCGTCGAGTGTGGGATCAGTACGACGGACATACGAAGGTACTGAGTAGAGAGAGACCGGAACGGTTTTTATGTGAAGACAACAACACCACCAACAACAACAATGGGTATACATATGTGAGATGTTCGTTTGTCTCTGCAACAGACCTACCTCTGCGCGACAGCTCACGTTCTTTGGCGTTGTCGAAATGCCAGGCGTGGAGTACAAACACGCCAAGCTCGACCTCTTACCACGCGCGAATTGGTCGGGACGAAGCGGGACGCCAAAACACCAATTAAATGGCCTCGTGTGGAGAGTGTGCCGGAGTGGCTGGCCGGTCCGGTTCAGCGCATTATACAACGGTTAAGCGCGTTACATTGGCTCTGTTTTGAAGACGACCTCTTGGCCGCGGAAAATTCGATTCTGTGTCTGCCTTCTGCCCTCTCGTTCAAAACCGGCGGGATCAAGCGGGGTTGAACAACAGCTGAAATGTATACATGTCAATGCATACGACGACAACAGGAATAACAAAAAATGTCTCGATTGGTAGATATGAACTGCTGTGCCTGTAGTATAGCTGGAACGGACTCGGGCGCATACGCTACCCGAAGTTGGCAGATGATTACCCTACCTTGCTGTGGAAATGAAGCCAACGTTGGTTGCTAAGATTTCTAGGGTAATCTGCCACGTGACGCAACAAACTCCTGTGCATAGCAGGTTGCGCACACCTACGGCCATCTTAAATAGTGGCCAGAGGGCTAGTGATCTAAGCGGCCGTCCTCCATCAAATACCGAAACGCATCGACGTCTTGTGCAATGTCGAATGTCATGAGGCCATATCGCTCGAACCTGATTCTTAGTTCGACACGAAACCTATTAGTACGTACTGCGAGTCCGCGGTATGTAGACGAAGCAGCCAAACAGTTGCGCGGACATGTGTACATGCTTCCGGTCTTCCGGTAGCAATCGGCCGCGCCAAATAACTGCCGACGGATGCATACCTGCTGGCACAACACACCTGGTACATGCCAACAACCCTCTGGCCGGATATAACAAAACGCACTTGTTCCTGTGCTTCGTTTTTGTTCATTATTAGGATGTTAGGATATTAGGATCGACCGCGCTAGCAAGAAGAACACGGCGGGCAATCAAACGACTAACGTGTGTACGTATCGTATGTTCCCGCGTGAAAAATCACACCGCAGCTAACGTAGTCTACCAAACAGCAGCAGGGATGACGAGAGTTCGAACCGTCTGAAAAGTCGGGAAAAGTCGGCAACAAGATGCACGCATGCGCATATAGCGGAGTGTGTGAGAGCAGCGGGAGTGCAGAATCCCTGGACTACGTGCTGTAACAGAGAGGGTATGAGGGCAGGGGAACACCGGTAGAGAAATTGATCCGTTGCTTGCAGTCAAGAGAGAAGACAGAGAGGTCGGCACCACTATTTAGGTACGTGTTTCGACTTCATGGCATCATCATCAAGATGGGTCACCAACCGTTACCCCGCCCCCGGACAGGCCAACCACCCCAAAGTTTGACGCCGAAAGTTTGACCCACTCTACACTCTTCTCGGCCAACGGGGCGATTTCGCGAAAGAGAGACGGAGATGCCTCTTGACTTCGCGCATCCACTCGCGATACGTTGGAGATCGTGTGCCGTGCGACCGGCGCGTGGTTGAGGGTCCGGAAGCTGTGGTGGAACACACATAACCGAGTCGGAAGTGCCCTCGGAATAGTGACATGGTGAGAGGGTACGGAGCCAACACGGATGTACTGATGTTCTGGAGTAGCAAAGAACACACGCAAAGGCTTTCCGTGGTGACGCCTAGTAAGGGCTAGAGAGGGGGCGCTTTCTCTCAGGTGAGTGACATCGGTCGTGTCCCTTTCAAGGTTCCGCACACCCAAAACACGCCCTCGCTCAACATGGCCGGTCGCCATGTCACCCACACCAAAAAAACACTTCTTGGTTGGAAACGGAGGCACACTGATGCAGCTTACAAACTATGTGATCAGGAAAAACAATTGCCCGTGCCTGCGGGGAGGAGAGAGGACAGAAAACACCTGCTGTACCACCATTGCAGGGGCGTACGCCCGTAAGTGAGGGCTCACCTCGGTCATGCTGGGCGAAGGCAGCGCCTGCGGTGCGCTAGTGTCCATCGAAACGAACGACGTCATGCTAAAAATGATGGCCTCGGGGAACGAGCAGCAGCAGTCTCCGGCACACACACACACACAGCAGCAGCGGCTCTTTCACCCCCAGCCCTTTGTCTCCTCCCCTCTCGCGATTCCTTGTCCCTCCAGCCTCCCCGACAGCTTTCTGGGCCAACACGAAGGGGCTCCCGGTGGTAAACCGTGGGTCGGTGTACACGGAGTAGGTCCCTCGGGCTCTCTCTGGTTGATTTATTGCTATTTTCTTCGGTACGACACCCCACACTGCTACACCTGGCGCACGTCGCCCACCCCCTCTCCCTTCACAATCTGCGTTGCCCCAAATCTCGGCTTTGTTGTGCAGAGCAGGTCGGACAGTGGACGACTCCGTCCGCCCTTAAAAAGTGGTGCGTTACGGAGCTCGCTTGGATCGCGCCCTCCAGACCATTCACAGGTTCCCACTAGGAGGGTCTGAGCCCTGGGATCTCGAGGCACCCGGAATTTTGATTTTTGGGGCAAACTACGCCGAGAAAGTGCGAAAAGAGCCCTCTGCGTCCATAGGCGGGGGGCTGCAGGGGCAGAAAAGAGGCTCGTTAAGGGAGCAGGATCGACGCGGCAGGGTGTACAGCCCAGGCCTGAAGCAACGGTAAGGCCTACCGCATCAGGGATTCCTCTGCGCTTTGGGGGGAGAGGAAGCAGTGCCGGGCTATTGCAGCAGCGCCCGTGGCGGTGCGGCAATAGTGCGGGGACGGCATTAGGTCGTGAGAGAGGAGAGCCGCGGTGGAGCGTGACTGACACTCGACACTTGCTGTTCGAACGAGAGAGAGAGCGCGGGGAGGGAGAAGCAGCGTCATGCCGTCTCAGTTCAGCTTCTCGTCAGCGCGGTTATGCCGCGTCCAGAAACTACAGTTCGGGATCCTTAGCCCAGATGAAGTGGTGAGAGGAAGTACATCACAGCAGTATAGCATCATACAGCATCAACACACAAGCGAGGATGATGATTTTGCGCACTTGGTCTGTGATGTGACAACTTTTATAACGCGGGTGTGCACAAAGCGTAGGTCATTATCTACGGCTGCTGTAGCTGGGTGCCACGGAGGAGGAGCGGGTGATGCGATCAGGGGATGGGGGATGTATTTGTGTTATCTTGTGGTGGTGCAAGGTGGTGCTCTGCTGCTGCTGCTCCTGTTGCTTGCATGCCACTGCTGCTGGTCGCACTACATACGCAGACTACTGGGTATAATTAAGGCCTATAATTAAGAGTATAATTAATATTGGAACACCCAGTTGTCAGATAGAATGCGGAGGCCGGAGTTAACCCTTGGAACGGCGGCAGACATGCATCCTCCCTGTGCTGACATTGCAAAGCCGATGGCACGCACAGGAGTGCTCGTGGGCTGCGATAGTGTACGATACATACATGTGCCTGAGGAAAGGAGACAGACGTGTGTAGTGCATGCAAGAATGGTTTGCGGTGAATGGCAACCGGACCCTTCTGTACGTACGCTCCCTCACCCGTGCGCCCACACCCGTGCAGCGCCCTGTCGCCACATGGTTACTTTTCGGTGCGGTCTCAAGGCACTACCATAGCCACATGATACCAATTTGTTGTGTGTGCTATCGTCGAAATTGCACGTTTAGAATTTGTTTTTGGAGGTGCTACAAATCCTAATGTACCTGGTACTGCTGTAACCGCTGTAACTCATCAACGCCCGACGCCGAATCTTGAGAACATGTGTCGTCATGTACGGCACAGATTAATTCAGTCGTTGGTATTAGCGTATGTTTGCTTTGCTGTCCCTGCGCCGCCCTTCTGCCGCGCGTGCGCAAACTTCTCGAGTGTTTGACTGTTGCTCTCTGAACCTACTGTGTACGCTATCTGTGTGTGTGTGTCTCTTTCTCCCTCTCTCTTTCTCCCTTATACACACTCTCTCTCTCTCGATACGCCTGGTCGGACGTTGGTGCATGACCGCTTGCACGAGAGCAGCGTCAGATGTCGGTGTTGCAGAAGGTCAAGGTCAACGACGTCGACATTCCAGAGGGCGTCACAAAGTACGACCTTTACAAGGTGCGACACGTGCGATGTGCACATGTGCGCAAGGTTTCTGTCTGTCTGTCTTGTTGGTGGGCGACTACTGTGCCTGCTATATCTCTTGCTGCGCGTGCCTAGTTGGTCGCGCTCGGTTTTCACCCCGTGATTAACTGCGGCGTGGAAGCTGCTCCCAGCGTTCGTACTGCACAGTGAGACTTGATACGGATGGTGCAGTCCATGTTCACCGAAACGTGTTGAGTGGTACATTTTGCGCGGGGGTACACAACCACACTGTCTTGAGAACCTGTTTTTTTTTCTCTGTCATATATTTTGATAGTGTGCTCGTTCTGTACAGAGGACTTCGCTGCCCGCAAGAAAACTAATCTCTACCCTAACCGGAAAAAACGAACGGGTTCCCCCCAAAACATTTCTGGCTTGACCGTGCATTTTGAATCGCAGGATGGGAGCGCCGTATACGGGGGCGCCAACGACCCGCGCATGGGTACCCTGGATTTCAACACCCGGTGTCGCACCTGCGATTGCACCTACACCGGCATCGGAGGGAACCAGGTCAACGACTGCCCCGGGCACTTCGGGCACATGGAGGTGGGTGGGGTCACGGCGTGGCTGCTGCTGGTGCTGTTGTCGTTTCGTGTACAATGATCGTTTTCCTCGCCTGTTCCCCCGGTGGTGTAAGTTGTGGCATGATGGGTATGTGAGAAAACGCCTTGTCAGCAAGCCGCAACAAGTGTCATCGCCTACTGCTGTCCACATCACAGCTTCAGTTTGTCGATATGGAGGAAGTGTTATCGCCTTGGTTGTGTCCACAGTATTTCAGCTTCAATTCGTTGGCATGCGGTAGGTGCTGCGGCCTTATTTCTACCTTCACTACAGCTTCCATTTGTCGGCATACAGGAAGTGTTTTCGTCTTGGCTCTGTCTTACTACACCGTAAACGTCTTGCGGGCGGCACGTGCTCCTGCTCCAATGCGCGCGCGGAAACTCTCTCTCGCTTTTCACGCGGGAAACCGCGATACAGCTGGCGAGGCCGGTGTACCACTGCGGGTTCCTGGACGTGACACTCAAGGTGTTGAGGAGCGTTTGCTTTCACTGCTCGCGCCTGAGGTTCGACAAGTCCGACATGAAGTACAAGCGAGCCCTGCTTATCAAGAACCCGAAGGTAATCCGTTCCTTCCCGTGCTGAATCGTTCCGTCCCGTCCTGTTCAAGTGTCGTTCGTGTAGTGGTTTGCTTGCTTGCTTGCTTGCTTGCAAGAACCAGTCAGCGTGTATTCGATTGTACTGCTGCTTGTCGTGATGCTTTTTGGAGGCTTTGGCTCTACGTGTTGCTGCCCTACGCGAGCTTTGCACGTCATGTTGGGAGTACGTGTGTTTTTTTGGCGGGACTAACCCCACACCCCGTTCCCTTTCCGCCCTGAATCCCTTGTCGAAATGCCTACAACACCAGCACTCGCAGGCCGCGGTCCACACCGAACACCGCCGGTGCCTAGTATGTTGCTCAGAGAGCACTAGTAGAATCACAAACGACAGTTTGTACACCACCATGGATAAGTTGCAAGTTTTTCCCGTGACTTTGGTCATGCATGTGAGGTGAAAATGTGATAGGAGAGAAAATTACTTCAACGAAACCACAAACACCCAGTAATAGACCGCGTGCGCTCGCCCCCACCACGCGGCAGACGAGGCTGAGCTACATCCACGAGCACTGCCGCAACGCGAAAAAGTGCGTCTTCGGGACGGGTGATCTGGCGGGCGGCGGGATGGACCTTGACGGCATGGGCGGGGAGAACGGGGGGGAGGGGGGGAGCGGAGGAGTGGAACACGCTTCGGGGTGCGGCGGACTGCTGGTGAGACTCAAGGCAGGGGGTCCTCGGGCTAGGAGAGGGGGTGGGGACTCATGCGGTTTGGTTGGAGAGGGGTTGGGTGGTGCAGGCGTGTGAGGGGATTTGGGGTGGTTATGGATGCGAATGCTTTGGGCACGTGGCGAGCTGCCGTCTCTACGCCCCCCACCCACCCTCTCTGTCGGTCTTCGGCGAGGAAGAAGTGTTCACTCAAGGAGGGGGGGGTCCATTCGATGGGCTCTGGGGGACGAGACTGCTATAGCTGCGTTGTTCGCGAGGGGTAGCCCCTCGCCTTTGGAGAGAAATGTAGGGGGGGGTTGGATTGGGTGCTATTGTGGCGAGAAGCGAGGCTTCTGAGAGTAGCACACGGTCGCAACAATCGCCTTTTTTCCGGTGGGTACAAAGCGTCTGTACGATTGTTTTTGGCTTGGAAACACTGGGACGCCTGTCGCGGGTGATAGCGTGAGTGAGAGAGCGCTACGGATTTTCGGCATTTAAGACGATGGCGTGAGAGATGACTGCGAATTGACAGCGTTTGTGACACGATGCCGTCCGAAAGCACCGCGAGTTTGCGGCGTTTACGGCGGTGCTGTTGGTGCTGCTTTGGCGCGTGCACGTGCAACCATGGTGCTGCACGTACGCTTCTTCTGCCTCTTGCTGCACAGGCCGCCGGCATCGTTCTAGTTCGTCGCGTGCGTACAGTGTCGTGATTTCGCCGTGTGCCCGTCGAAGTTGGGCCGCGTCTCTGCCACGTCGAACGACGACATTAGGTGTACAACAGCCGTCCCTTCTCGAAAGGCACCAAGATCAGTGACACTCCCCGCTTTTGTGACATGTTTGTTTTTCAGGAGTGTGGTGGTGNTGTTCCCACAGGACCGATCACCGATGGCCAATCGTTCCTTCCTACTTTGCCAAAGGTGGCTCAATAATGTCTTCCCTAGTCTATTTATCCTTTCGGTATCACTTCCCGCCTTCTCAAACCACTTCCTATTCTCCAGACAGCGAACGTCTTCTCCTGGCTATCCTATGCCTCAAACATCTCCCTGTACTTTTATTCTACCTTTCCCAGCTCAGTCATGTACACTTCCGTCTCCTTCTTGTACAGCCGACATTCCGCGACTACATGAACACAGTCTTCGCACTCGACGCCGCAATCACATATGAACTCGTCATGTTCGTCGTCTACCGTCCTATGTCTTCGCCGACGTTCCCGAAGGCCTATGTCCCCGGTCCTGAATCTGACCTTAAGCTTCGTTTCTGCATCCATTGGTCCATGTTGGTAATCCTTGAACCCTATTCCTTCCTTCAACATTCCGTACACTTCATCCTTATCCTTGCATGCTTTCCTTAGATTCTGTTCTTCTCTCTCGGCACAAGCAACATATATCATAGTCGTGCATGCCGTAGTCGTTAGACCATTGGCGGGGGGAGGGGTCGATGTTTATAAGGACACCTTCCCCGCTGCACGGAAGAAATGTTTTCAGAAATCCATGATTGCCTTAGCTAGGGAACTCCTGTGCTATCTACGTGGATGTGCTTCATTTATCTGACATTATCGCACGCCGCGCACGTCATCCCTGCGCGCTTTGTCGGCGCCGACGGCGACCGCGGGGGACGCTGACAACGTCAATCGCACCGGCGGACAGCCCAAGTTCACGAAGCAGGGCCTGCAGGTGGAAGTCGAGTACCCGCCCGATATGGACGATGTGCCGAGGTCCGGCGACCGCCGACAATTCCTCTCGGCCTCCAAGGTGTGATGGAAACCTTGACGCCGACGCTGTTCGTAGATGGTATCGGTGTCTTGCAGGCTTGTCGGTGGTTGCGAGCAGTTTGCGGGCAACTTGGACGTGGGCGTGTCGTGACCCCGGCTTACCAGTAGACTGTGTGGGTGGATGAGAGCAGTTAGCAGACATGTTCGAACGGGTTTTGTCGTGACCCCAGCCAGCGGTTAGGCTTGTTTTTTTTGGGGGGGGTTGATGTGGTGTGCTTTGTTCGTTGAAACAACCAGCATTGACGTATGCTGACGTAGGTTCCTTTCTTGATGTAGCTTTGCGTCTGTCCACCTCGCTGCATGGTATTTCCGTGGCATGCTACCCCATGCCCCCCCTCACTACCTCCAGTTGCACCACAGATGTTTTGATCAATGCGGTAACAGCTAGGGCATGCAAAACGTCGTCCCGCCCCCTACCTACGCCAAGGTGCACGAGATATTTAAGAACATCAGCGAGGAGGACATGGTCACCCTCGGGCTGAACCCCCAGTACTCGAGGCCCGATTGGCTGGTCATCACAGTCCTGCCGGTGCCGCCGCCGCACGTGCGCCCGTCCGTTGCGCTAGATGCGGGGGCGCGTAGCGAGGATGACCTCACTCACCAGCTGGTGAGTAAGACAGCAACAGTGGGGTCCCTGTGTCTGTTGCCGTGGACCACCAGACGGAAGCCGATTTCCCACATTTTCGTGGAATGCCGTAACGGGCGCTGGAAACCCAGGACCATCGCCCGCGTGTTTGTGTTGGCGAATGAAGTGCTGTTTCGATCTGCACCGGTGGATATACCTGTGCGAAAACCCGGTAGTCTACAGAAATTTCCGAGGAAGTTTCCGCGCATGACGGATGTCAAGTGCCAAAGCAATACCGTTGTACTTCCACATCTTGTGGTTGTCGTCGTTGTCATTGATTGTTGTTGTTTCTCTGTAAGAATACCCATCACCGCGTGTTTGTGTCTGATGTGTGCGCGATGCATGCACATGATTTGCGGTCTGCGCGTCTTGGGCAGGTGAATATCTGCAAGGCCAACATGAGGCTAGAGGCGTGCGTCAGGACGGGGGAGCCTGCGCACATCGTCGAGAGCTTCGAGCAGCTTCTTCAGTATAAGGTAAAACGCGACTCCCGCCGCCGCTGTCGAGTGATATCATCCCCACTCGTACGATTCATATCACAGTCAGCCGTTTGGCGGCACCCTGGGGACGTTGAGCCGTAGATGATGTTGTCCGTAAACAATCACGCATGGAGATTCTGGATAACGTTGTTTTTTCGTTCGAAGATTCGACTAATATTTTGTCGTCGAGTCGAGAGCAGCCTCGTGTTACTGCTTTCCAGCACACCCGCACGGTCCGGAACGACTGGCCGCAAACGTGCAACTCAACGAGTTAATTGGTGTGTCGTGTTTCGTCGTCGTCTGAGGTGTCTGCCGTACTGAGAGGACGACGCATGAATTATCGGCAACGCCGTGGTTTCGTTTGAAAACTCGAGAGACGTCTTGGTATCGGAGGCCTTTTGTTCCTGCTTTCCGGCACACCCACATGGCGCGGAAGGCTTGACCGCGCACACACATACAAGACAACAGGAGCCCTGCTTTTTTGTGTTTCGTCACCATCGTCGAATCAGGTGGCCGCTTTGTTCGACAACGAGCGCGCGGGGCAGCCGCAGGAGACACAGCGGTCGGGGAAGCCGCTCAAGACCCTACGCGCGAGGCTAAAGGGGAAGGAGGGGAGGATCCGGGGGAACCTCATGGGCAAGCGCGTGGACTTCTCCGCCCGGACCGTGATCACGGCGGACCCTAACCTGGGTATTGATCAGGTGAATTTGAGAAAGGGAAGAAAAGGCGTGGTGTGTGTATGTCGGGTATGTGTGATTGATGCGTGTTTGGCACGGTGGTGATGAGGAAAGAAACGCGTCTAGATCTCTGTGTGTTTGCTGTGTGTGTGTGATACGTATCGGCAAGGCGAGAAAAGAAAGTATCGTCTCGATCTCTGTGTTCGGTTTGTGTTTGATGCGTATCGGCAAGGCGAGAAAATAAAACATCGTCTAGATCTCTGTGTGTTCGGTGTGTGTTTGATGCGTATCGGCAAAGCGAGAAAAGAAAACATCATCTCGATCTCTGTGTGTTCGGTGTGTGTTTGATGCGTATCGGCAAAGCGAGAAAAGAAAACATCGTCTCGATCTCTGTGTGTTCGGTGTGTGTTTGATGCGTATCGGCAAAGCGAGAAAAGAAAACATCGTCTCGATCTCTGTGTGTTCGGTTTGTGTTTGATGCGTATCGGCATAGCGAGAGAAGAAACAATGTCTAGGATCTCTGTGTTCGCTGTGTGCGATGTGCGTCTGGCATGGCGGTGAGAAGTCGTCAGCGGTGAAGTCCTCACTCTGCTCTCGTCGGAGGGAGTGCGACAAGCAGATTCTTACTTACTCCGCCACAGCCGTCCGCCCGTTTTACGGGGTCAGCTGGCCTGGTATTCAACCACGTTTTTGCTTTTTGTCGACCCCGTAGCAACAGGAGGAGATCGACAAGGGTATCATCGGTGGTGCTTGCGTGTGTTGACATCCCGTCGATCCCGGACTCCGGGTTTGCATCGTTCGATATGCATGGTAGGACTCACCTGCCGGGGGCGCACAGGGAATTTTTTGTTGTGTCATCGCCTTGCTTGTTTTGTTGTTCTCATCTTTTGTGATACTCGGCTCGAGTGCGGCACTGTTGGCTCTGCACGCGGTACTCTCTTCGCCCGCCTCTTGCCCCCCCGTCCCGCTGCCCCACCGTGTTTGTGGCCCGGGTGCTGGAAGAAGCGCAACCGTTCAACGTGAACCGGCCCCCCGCCCTTGACACCCCAGGTGGGCGTGCCGAAGTCGATCGCTCTGAACCTGACGGTGCCGGAGCTGGTGACAGCGTTCAACGTGGAGGAGATGGCGCAGCTTGTGGCGAGAGGTCCTCTCGAGCACCCTGGCGCAAGGTTCGGTGGCGTTTCGGGTCTCCTATCTTGGGTGTTGTTGTTGTTGTTGTTGCTGTTGTTGGTGGTGCTACGCTGTCGGTAGTTTGTTGCTGTGGGTGGTGCTTTGGTTGATGCTGTCGTTGTTGTGGTCACCAAAAGAGATGCATACCCTCAAGATCATGGTCGTACGGGAGATGGGCAGCACTTTCATTGCTTTGCTCATGACCTGAGGGTGTGGAGATGTTTGATCGGCTTGGCGAGCTATCGCGGCGGACATTGTATTTCTGTTGGCACTCCCTTGCGGCTCATCGTAAATATGCACAGGTATATCGTGCGGCACGACGGCGTGCGAGTAGACCTTCGGTTCGTCCGCAACAAGAACAGCCTGACGCTGCAGTACGGCTACGCGGTGGAGCGGCACCTGAGAGACGACGACATCATCATCTTCAACCGGCAGCCGTCGCTCCACAAGATGTCCATCATGGGCCACCGGGTGAAGGTGCTGGACTGGTCGACTTTCCGGATGAACCTCTCCGTGACGTCGCCGTACAACGCCGACTTCGACGGCGATGAGATGAACCTCCACGTGCCTCAGGTGAGCGACACGCGGCGTGTTTGTTGCCTTTTGGGCGGCGGCGGCGGTGGTGGTGCTCTTGCACTGTGTTGCTGACGTTATTGTTGGTGTGTGCGCTCTTGCTTCGTGCTGGTTGTCTCCGGCACATTGCTCGCTTCGAGCCCCCGCCCACCCCACCTAGCCGCCCGTGCCGGTGTGTGTGCCACGTTGTTTGTGAGCTGTGATGTCAAGCCCTACGGAGCTGCGTCCCCGCTCGCGTGAAGTTTCTCTCGCGCTACAGGATTACCTGCTGTATCGCGCTGGCGCTTCCGTGTAATGAGTACTGTATTCTGGTTCAATATATACGTGTTTTTTACTCGCCATGTTCTGTGTGTGTTTGTGCGCGTGTGTTTTGCAGAGCCTTGTGGCAAAGGCGGAGGCTCAGGAGCTGATGATGGTGCCGAGGAATATCGTCAGCCCGCAGTCCAACAAGCCCGTCATGGGCATCGTGCAGGTGTGATTTGGTCTAATTTTTTACGTTTGCATCCACCGGCGCCTGCTGCTCCTCGCGAACATCGTTGTCGCTGTTGCTGTTGCTGTTGTGTCATCGTGGTTGGAATTGTCATCGCTGTTGTTTGTCGCCGTCGTTGTTGCTGCTGTTGTCGTGCACGCGTGTCTGTTGTTACGTTTCATCCACCGCGCTGTGCCCGCTTTTGCTGTTCCTCGTTGGTGGTGCTGTCTTTGGAATTGTCGTCGTCCCTGTGTGCTGTTGTCCTCGTTGTTGTTGCTGCTTCCGCTGTTGTCGTTGTAGTTGCTGTTGTCCTCGTCGTTGTTGCTGCTTCTGCTGTTGTCGTTGTAGTTGCTGTTGTCGGCGTTGTGGCTCTTGTTGTTGCCTATCTTCGCATCTACATGCGGAGCAAGCATCCCTCATATTTTCCGGGGTCTGTGTAAACTCCCGCGATCGCCGCGTGCCCCACTCGGTGCGACAGGATTCCCTACTGGGCGTCTGCAAGATGACCAAGCGGGACACCTTTGTGGAGAGAGACCTCCTGATGAACCTGCTCATGTGGGTGGAGACGTGGGACGGGAAGGTACCTGCCCCGGCGATCCTGAAGCCGAAGCCGCTGTGGACGGGGAAGCAGCTGTTCAGCCTCATCTGCCCGAAGGTGTGCTGCTCGCGGCCTGGAAAAGAGGGGGGGGGGTAGATTCTACATTTACAGCAGTGTAGCTGTTGGGACTACTGCTTGCTGCTATTGTTGGGAAATATCCTGTTCTGTTTTTGGTTTGGGGTGGGGCACTTGTTTAGTGCCAAGAGAGGTGGATCAGTCCCTCGCTCTCTGTGATGCGGAATGGCCTTTTTGCCTGGCATGTGGAACGGCAAAGCCTCCTCGTGTGCACTTGATTGATCCTTGTTTTTTCTGCAACAATTGTCATCGAAGAGCATGCGACCGATTTGTTCTTGTGCTTGAATTTGCCCAGGTCAACTTGGAGACTTCGGCGAACGGGCATCCCAAGGGCGCCAACCCTCTCAACAACTCTGACACGAAGGTAGGCATGGCGTGGGTGTAACTCTGGCGAAACGGGGTTGCGATTGTTGCCACCGACTCGCAGTGCTCGAGAGATTTAACCGGCGGACGTTGTGGTGCTGGTGAATGCGTACATGATCTGTGTGTGACCCGGCGTCAGAGTACTATCCACATAGATGTCACGATCGAAATTGGGGGGGTAGGCACCGTGAGTGGCCGTGGTGGATGATAGTGAAGTGGAGGGGCGGGGTTTACCGCCCAAGGCTCTTTTGTGTTTTGTGAATGTCTGATACGTACTTGGGGCTTCACCAAGTCATCTACCCGGTATTTTGTATTTTCTTCATTGTTTTCTCTCTCCTTCCCCTTACACATTGCCCCGCCGACCAGTAGAATGAGCACAGCGTCTTTGGCACTTGTGACTGCTGTGTCCCCACCCCCCCCACTCTTACGGCCGCTGGTTCTTTTGTAACGGTGCTTGCTGATTTGGTGCCCTGTTTAGGTGTTGATCCACGAGGGAGAGCTGATGATGGGCAACATCGACAAGAAGACTGTGGGGAGCGGCGCTCAGGGGCTGATTCACGTCTCGTGGCTGGAGAAGGGCTGGGACGTTACCCGCCTCTTCATGAACATGGTGAGCATGTATTGTCGAGTAGCCGTGTGCGTGTGTTTTCGGTACTTGAATAAGTTGTGCTTTTTTACTTGGTATGAAATGCACAATCACATAGAGACTTATCTGTTCGAGATACAGCCACAGCAGTCGAAGGGGATGGGTTGAAGTATTTGCGGTAAGTGGGAGAAAAACTGACTGGATAGTGGGCTTATTTCGATTCTTTTTATTTGTATTTTTTTATTTGGGGGAATGGAGGTAGACGTATGTCCAACTCCGCAAGACCGAAGAGGGGCTTCGAGAAAATGTTGCTTATAGAGACGCAAAATGAGATGTGTGTTTTGTGTTTTACGCAGCCGACGAAAAGAACGTGCTGCGCCAATTGCAGGTCCAGAAGCTGGTGAACAACTGGTTGGTGGTGACTTCGTTCAGCATCGGTGTGGCGGATACGGTGGCAGACACGGAGACGATCATGACAATCGGGGGAATCATAGACACGGCTAAGAGGTGCGTTCGTTGGCGGCATGATGGTTTGGATCCTGAATAGTCAAAAAAACTCAAAAGAAAATGTACGTTGTTGTTGTTGTTGTTGTTGTTGTTGTTGTTGTTTCTCACATTAGCTCTAAAAAAAAAAAGATTGGGAGCCCGTGGTCTCAAAACCCGGCATACACGACCCCACCAAGAAACAGAAAAAAATAGGGTACAAAAACCACTCGGAAGAGAAACAGAATGATAGAAAGAAAGAGCAGCTACCGCACCAAACGAGAAAGAGCGTCGAGGAGACCGATCAAAATAAAATAAAAGGAGAACGGGGAACGCTTCCCACACCCGCCTACAACGCCGGAGGGTTCCGTGCCGGGTTCCCGCCGACCAGGCATCCCCCGCCCTGCACCACACCCCAGGGGGTGCAGCAAGACGGGGGGC